CGTATCTCTGCGCGGTCCATCCCGTCAAGTGGATGAGTTGGTGTCAAAGCTGCAGGACTTCGTAGTGGAGCAGGAGAAAGATGACCGCGAACGAGACTACACAATCTCGTTCGACTTCCCTCAGAAGTTCGCAAACTTCCTCATTGGCAAGCGAGGCGAGAATATCAACAAACTTCGCGAGGAATTCGATGTTGACATCAAGGTTGACAACGGCAAGGTCGAAGTCAAAGGACCCAAGGCTAAAGCGGATGCTGCCAAAGCCCGCATCATCAATCTGGGAAAGAAACTGGAGGATGAGACAACACACATTCTGAAGATCCCCGCACAGTACCACCGCGAACTTATCGGCCAGAAGGGAAGCCAGGTCAACAGACTGCAGGACCGCTACTCTGTCCGCGTTCAATTCCCAAGGGCGGCGGTTGCAACACCTAGCTTCGAGGATCAATCCGTGGCGGACACTTCTAGCGAAGTCGGCGGCTCTCGTCCTATCCGCCCCAACCAGGCCCCTGATGAAGTCATCGTCAAGGGTCCGAGCAAGGGTGCGGATGCCGCCAGAGATGAGATTTTGAGTCTGCTGCAGTGGGTCATTGACCACTCTCACTCGGCTACAGTATCTGTCGCTCAAAGTCAGATCCCATCTCTGATCGGCCAGCGTGGCCGTGAGATGGACAAGCTTCGCGCTGATACCGGGGCGCAAATCGACGTTCCGGGAGCCAATGACGCGCCCGACGCTTCGGGTCGTGTGCAGATAAAGATCAAGGGCACAAAGCAGCAGGTCGAGGAAGCAAAGAAGATTCTGCTGCAGCGTTCCAGCGAATTTGACGCTATTGTCACGAAGACGATTGATGTTGACAAGAAGCATCACAAGGCTTTGATCGGCGCTGGCGGTAAGTTTTGTGATGATATAAGTATCTCGTCCATCTTGGAAGCTGACTCGATGCCCAGGTGCGAACATTCGCAAGATCGTTACCGAAGCCGGTGGTCCTACCGACGCAAGTGCGTCGCGCATTGTCAGATTCCCCCGGCCCGATAGCAGTGAATCCACTATCAAGTTGGAAGGAAATGGCAAGGTCGTTGAGAACATCATTGCTTCCATCGAAGCTTTCGTAAAGGAACGCGAAGACCAGGTGACGGTCACTGTCGACATTCCTCCTGCACAGCACCGACTGCTCATCGGCCGCGGAGGCGAGACGAGACGCGGTATTGAATCGCAATTTAATGTCACCGTGGACATTCCCAAACAAGGCTCTGGACGGTCCGATATCAAGCTGAAGGGCCCAAGCAACGCTGTCGAGGGTGCAAAGGAGCATATTCTTGCCATGCTGAAGGATCAGCAGGGTGAAACAGTCGAAGTTCCTCGGCATCTGCACCACGTTATTGCAGACAATGGCGCCTTTTTCCGACGCCTCCGCAACGACTACCGAGTTACTGTTGACCACGCTGGCCAGCAAGTGCCACCCAAACCGGCTTCCGAGGAGTCCCGCGCCACGACCAACGGGGCGTCATCCCTTCCATTGATCACTGATGAGCCCAGCGACTCTGTGGAGGCTCACTCTTGGAAGGTTGTCGATCACAGCGCTGCCGCCCCAGACCCAACGCAACCCGCGACCATCCCATGGGTGCTTATTGGAAGTAGCGACAATGTGGCCAGAGCCAAGTCGGCCTTGGAGAAAGCCATTGCTTCTGCATCCCAGCAGACTGCGACTGGCTATCTGATTCTCCCCGATCCCAAGACATACCGTTTCGTTGTTGGCCAGGGCGGAAGCCAGATCAACGCTATCCGCAAACAGACGGGATGCCGGATCAACGTGCCCAAAGACCAGGCTCGAGGTGAGGCGATTGAAATCAAGGGCAGCAAAGAGGGACTGGAGAAAGCAAAGGAGATGATCCTTGACGCCGTCCGCGCTGGCCTCAACGGCGGCTCCAGATGAGGCTCATCCTTCTTTTGCCGTCGCTTCTCGGAATGAATGTCCTGACTTTGCTTGGGGGCATTTATCTCCTTGGACGCCCTTACGATGGTCTTTTACGCATCTGCATACCATAAAATTCCACTCCATGATCAGCATTGTGTCTACTTTCTATTCTTTCTTGTTTTAAATTTATCATTCTTTTTGTGTATCTTCTATTCTACATTTTTTGAGCAAAGCTGTATTCACGTACTTCTGTCTACCTTGATCATCCATAGCGCACTCCACTGTTGAGAGCAGGAGTGAGCCAGTATACCACTTGTCACCACTGCAAGAGGGGGAATCTGAACTGAACCAAGACACATTCAAACGCGGTCTATTTGACAAAGGGATATAGTAAGAGGAAGAAAAAGGGGGGCAAAAAGAAACAAAAGACAGAAGCCAATCGCTCCTCTACTATATTATCCGTAGGCATAAGTATGGTCATATAACGTCCGCGAAAATCTGACTTGGAATCCCCTAAAAAAGGGAGATACCAAGGACAGCGAAAGTAAACAGAAATATCTGCTTTGGGTATCATCACCCAGCAATCCCTTGTGAAATAACAGAATCGCCATCAGATAGAAAAAATCAGTCACACCGAAACCAGTATCTCTCCTGTATAAATTCTCCGGTGAATAAATTTTCTTTTTTTTTTGATTTGTCGTTCCAGACCTCCTTTTCCCTTGCAGACACATCTACTGCTGCTGAGAATTGGCCTGGAGGTACTGGTAGGCACCGTAAGCGACGGCAGCGAAGACAACCAGGACGGCGTACATGCCGAACCCGCTGGACGAGGAAGCAGCGCCTGTGGTAGCAGAGGTCGAGGGGGCAGGCTTAGCGCGGGGGGCAGGGTCGCCGGGCTAAATAGGACAGACAAATTAGCTTGGTTCCGCGAAAGTCAGACACGGCTTAGAATGAGCAGAAACCTACCAGGCGCTTCACAGTACCGACCAGCAGACCCTCAAGAATCTCGCGGGCCTCGTCACTGTGGCCGACGTCCTCGAAGGCCTCGGTGCTGTCCTGGCCGGCTACGTCGAGGAGGACCTCCTCACCACCACTGGGATTTCGAGTCAGTTTAATTTGATGTTTCCGGAGGAGGTAAGGGGAGATGAGACGTACGGGTGCTCATCGACGAAGCTGGAGCAGTCATAGACCTTGTCGTGGACGATGAGGTAGAGATCCTTCTTGGTCTTGTGCTCGGAGATCTCCTGCAGGGTGAATTCCTTGGAGGCGGACATTGTGATTAAATTATTCGGGTTATCTGGATTGGTGACGATTGTTAGTTTCTAAAATAGCAGTAGCGACTGAGAGGAAAGTAGATGAGAGGGGAAGAAGGAAATGCGAGCAGTCAGCAGTCAGCATTTCCGTCGGCGTACGATGTCGGACGATAAGGCCAACATTTTGCTTTTCAGGTACTTCTCCGACAGGGGGAGTAAACACGCCGTCGACAGAAAGTAAACTTACCAGGAACAGACAACGGAGAGATAGGAAAATTGACTGAGGGTTGAGGAGAGACTAGGGAGCAAAGCAATGCCAAAAGACAGATAGACAGATAAGATTGAAACAGAGAAAGGGAAAATGGGGGGGGAGGACTGGGAGGAGATTCGGTGAGGAGAAAAGAAGAATCCAATGGCGGCGGGAAGTTTAGTTGGGCGATCCCGAAAGATACTGACTGGGGTTGGCCTGTGATTCTTCTGCTGGCTTTTCCAGAACCTAACCTCAGGCACACACTTCCTTTACTGCCGTGGATCTGATCCGGTTATTCCTCGGGCACTTTCTGAGCCTTCTGAGCGATCAGATCAAGGGCTCATACAACTGTGCTGTCTTATGTATTGCTCTACTACTAATACTCCGTACCTCTCTGGGTACCGGACTCAAAAATATCTAGTAGAGGTGGTCTGATAGCGCCGGATAGACAAAGGGCTTCGTCCTCCCTCCGCGAATAAAAAGCCGCTTATTTCTCGTCCCCTCTCATCTCCCTCTCTTACTCATTTCCCGAGACTTAAGGACAGATTATATAATATTCCGTGTAATTCATGTGTTCGCTTCCTCGATTTCCATAGTCAAGAGTCAAGAACTGTTCGGACTTCTATTCTAAGAAGAGCGCTGACATGCGCTGCAGGATAATACTTCCCAATCAGGCCATCAGCAAAAGCATCTCTTGACTGAATCGGAATGGTCTTCCGCTGTCCTTATGGAGACCGGAATCCAGATCTCGCCTGCTGGGCTGCTACTCCACTTGACGGTTCTTGCCTACGGAGTACTTTAGACTCGTACTTCACTGTCGTTGTAGGTTGTAGGTATCTCTGTAGAAAGTACGGGGCCAAACATTCTGCCAATTTGTAGCTAACACGATGGTATTCATCGCCTGCAAAGTCCAGTATTCACATACATACATACTATGCACGGAGTTCGGATGCAACAGTGAGCATCTATTCCGCTAAAATCTAGGTTGTAGTAAATCGTAACCGTGGCTTGATAGTCCACAGACCCGTTTACCCCAATTAATGTTCATGATTGTCACAGGCAACCCAGAAAGTTGACCAACACTCTCTGTTCCGGGGTCAACAGCCATAACCTCGGGGATGATCGACTGCGGCAAATTTGTTCGGATAGCGTGCTTAGACTTCCGTCGCTTTCTGCCTGAGGATAGCCCTGGTTCCGACGTCCGCGGAATCAATCACAAGCCAACTACAACAAGAAATGATGTACGAGGACATGGCCAGAATCCATAGGGGCCGTTGAATGACAAATGTACAATTATCCTGTCAGGAACTTCTATACTTCCCATTACAACACTATCTACCCAGCTCCCTCTATATACACAATAACATTGCTGGTGGACTCATGGACTGACATGCATGCATGGCTAAAGAAAAAAGAAAACAGGCCAAAGTCAAAATCATCATTTATGGATCATCATCAGGTATCATTGCCGTCGGCCGTCATTTCCCTGCAAATAGAGCAAAACAATCCTCTCATTTCCGAAGCAGAGAATGCTCAAGGCGTATCCGAAACTGAAAATCATCAAGATGCAAATTCACGGCAGTTTCACTTCGCCGGAACTCGCTCGTAGAATACAATATATGCTTGTTCGTTCTGCAGCCGGTCCTTGAAGCGCAGATCGCGTGGGTTAAAGTCGATCGCCCGGTCATCGTCAAACTTGCGCCAGCATTGACGCTGCGCATCCCGCACCAGCGATATATAATGTCCGCTCCCCATGGTCGATCCAATATGGCGTAACACCCCATACGCATCATACGTGAAAGGCCCTGTGGTCGCAGAGGTCATGTCTGCTGCCCTGGCATCATTGGCAGATCCAGGGTGCGCGGAGATGACGAAATCATCCATCCGAAGTCCATGCAAAGGAAAATCAATGGGTGTATGAATCTTGCGCGCGCTTTGTGTTTTCGACGCAGAAAATCTCTTGAAGTGGATGACCAGAATCTGAGGCGCCCGGGTGATGATGATCTGCTTTGTTGCCACTCTCTCACATTTGCAATAAGGACACTTCCACACTTCATCCCCACTCAGCAGTTCCTCCTGGCAGTAACTACGCAGGCATTGATAGATATCGCCTGTGCCGGTGGGTGGAATTTCAACACTGATACTGTAGAAAGCCTCATACGTTGTTGATGTCCGCTTGCAGGTCGTACATCGAAGTCGACTGGCGTGCTGGCCAGCAAACAGTGAGGAGATGAAGGATTCTTCCCGGTGACAGTAGCGATCCCACTCAATCTTGGAGACCTTGGGCACAGGCATCCGCTCCCGCTGCATTTCTTCCTCGAATGTGAGCGGCCGGAGGGGAGTCCTCTGCCAGTTGATGTTGAGGTCCTCATGCAAACAGTCCACCACAAAGTCAAAAAACTCCTTGGCATCCTGTTGCCGATCGATGGCCCACTCTTGATTCAAGCGGCCGCAAAAATTGCGAAATGATGTCGGCATGATCACCTCCACATCGTTCTTCCACAGCGACCTAATCAGATTCGCAAATAGCCCAGGCATGACGCCTTGTGATCCTTTCCAATTCTTTTGAACGTAGAACCGGAATCGGTTGTCAATGAAAAACTTGCTAAGCATTACGGTCGCGCTGAGACATTGAATGGTCGAGTTCATGTAGCAAGTCACGCCGAAGTTGGTCAAACCAGTCCGTGGAAGTTTGAGGCGACTCAGCATCGAACTGGGAGTATACAAAGCTGTTTTGGTCGCCGAATTCTGCCGTTCCAGGGGTGCCTGAATTTGCCGACCATCTGAGACGCCACTATAGCTCGGTCGGGGTACGGCGGGAGGAGGTCGTGATGGCGCAACGGGTACAGGAGCAGCGTAATTGGGTGTTGAGGAAGGTATCAATGGCTGAGAGTGAGGTACAACCATCGATTCCTGAATTGCATGCGGTTCCGGGAAGCGTCGCAAGAAGTCCTCGTACGTATGCACAAAAGGCGTAACCGGAGGCTCTTGCTGCTCAGACGCATCTTCCGGTTCCTCTGTCAGCACTTCCTCCTCGATATAGGTGCTTGTGTCGATCTCTTCATTCTTCGACCTCTCCATCCATGCGGTCAATTCTTCCGGATTCAAAGGCTTATATTCGCGCAGTCTTCGTTTTCGGACTTCAAGACTGGAATTGGCACTCGCCATGGTCGGTACCCTCCCAAGAGGTCGACCCGGTCTCATCGCCGGCCTCTTGGCCTGTATAGATCCCATCACAGCAGCAGTTGTCGATGTTGCCAAAGACTGTTGTCCCAGAAGGTCAATCCATGCATCGAGTCCACCCAATAGTAACGCAGGTGGCCGTGCATCTTTTAAGGGCTTGTACGCATTAAATTCATACAATGTATCGTGCAAGGCTCGAAGATGGGGAGCTGTTGTCCCAACAGGCGACCCCGCAAGGTAGCTGACCGAGTCCGTTTTCTGGTCATAATACACAACGAGGTCAAACTCGTTGCGCCTCTCGAACAGCGACTGTTCATGTTCAGGTGATACCACCAGCCGCTCTTCAAGTTCCTCCGCAGACACGTTCTCTTTCAATGCCACCGGTTCAATACAGATGATTGATTTCGCATAAATATGACCTCCGTCGAATTTTTCGCGAGGTCGCACATCGATCAACAAAACGTTGTATTTGCGAAGGTACTCCAGTAAAGCTTGAGCGGTGATAGTAGTGCTATGCGGTAGATCTGCGGAGCTACTCCTCGCTTCTCTGATCTGGTGAACACCATTTGGCGTCGTAGACCGATAGGGATTGTCATCAAGACCACCACGACTGGGACTGCCACGGGGAGAGTTGGCTAACTGTGAGTAACGCGGATTGACAGGGCGGGAGCTCTCAGTAGATGTTCTCGGCGGATTTGATGGAAGTTGGGAAGGTACTGTCCATATCGGACTGTAAGCTGGATCTGGGGCCCGAGGAAGAGAGGTATTAAGTGGTATCTTTGGAGGTGGATTCGGTACGTCGTGACTCATCCCCATGTTACGGGGCCCAAGAGGGCGCCTAGAGGGTGAGCTCAAGTTTGAGTTGGGTTGTGAACCTTGCTGTATGTAAGAGGACGGACGAGGAGGATAGTCGTTAAGGTATTTAGGCGGCGAAGACGTTGTAGTTGCACCATTTTGTCCATTATTCGGATGATTTTGACCATTGACAGGATATGGTGATGCCCTTAGTTTAGCGAGGCGTTGGGCAAGTAGGTCCTCCGCAGGGGCCGAATACCTGTTCGGCTTCGGTCGCGTATCAGGCGCTCTTTGGAATTCCGAAGGACTCGGCATCCGTACTGAACTCTCGCCTGCCTCATTCTGACGGCCTCTAGAATCTGCACCCTCAGACGTTGCCGCGGGGGTTCCCTGATATCCTGATGTAGTGAAGCGGGATGGTCCCACCGGTTGGATATTGCTAGCCAAATTATCCTCCAAAATCTGTTGTTTGATATCGTCCATCGTCCCTTGCTTCGTCCGCACGGCCTATGAAATTGTCAGCCACCAATCTACTACTCCTCGGGAATCCCAACTTCGTGGGCGTGTTCACTCAAAAAGCAATGAACCGCCCTCTCGTGGCTGGAAAACCATACCATCATAAGACTCGCAAATTGCTTGTACCATGCCGGGCTCTGGCTGACGGTAACGCGGTAGTCAGGGTGGTGCGGTATGATGTTGATAGTAATCTCAGATGCACGCAGGTATTGCACATAAGCTTTGTCCAATTCTTCGGTATCAGCGTACTCTCTAGCTAGCTCGATCGCCTCCTGTGCCCGTCCGACCAAGTCACTCAACTATGAGATACCTATTAGCGATATGCCACAGTAGCAAACTCTAGGCGATTCAACAAAAGAGCAATACGCACCGGAGTCGATTCGTTCACATCCAGAGAGGCTGCTTCATCTTGGAGATCCTTAATGTTGGGAAATCGTGGTATTCGGGAGGAGGCATGGTTGCCGTTTTGATGTGAACCTGATCTGCCATTTCGCTCCACGCCCGATTGCATGCCACCCAAGGAGTGCGGCCGATCGGGATTCTTCCACAGCGCAAAATTCGGCGGAGAGGGTAACGACGCTGCATCCAAGGTCATTATACAGGGATGGAGAGAAATAGTCTCTAACACATGATCCGTGACGGAAGGACCGCGGGGAGTGCCACTAGGTATTCGGGGGCGGTATAAAGGAAGAAACAGTCTGTGAATCGGAGCAGATGAGGGGAGAATAGAAGCAGGAACAGACACTGAACAAAGATATGGGCAGACAGTACCCCTGTATAAGAGAGTGGAAAATCAACGAATGTCTGACTGACGGAGGGTGAATAGAATGACCGAAAGACACATTGAAAGAGAATAAATGCGACAATACTCCGTTCCTACTAAGGCAAGGTAGGGAACCTTCGTCGAAGGCAGAAGCAAGCAAACTGCGGGACGTTTCTGGGGTATGCGCAATCGGCGTAATGACCGTATTAAAACAGGTCTTGGTATTACTCGCCGCCTTGTCCGATGACGCCACATGCTTTTTCTGCCTCGCCTGATTTATTGACCTAAACTCGGAAAATCGACACCTAAGGAATCAAGCACCAACTGTGCTCCAGCCAATGACTATGCCACATGGGGCAGCTTCTTGTCTTACTAAGCAGGTCTCGCCAGTTACAGCCTCCACTCTTGTACCGCATTGCCTAAGGTACCTACCTACCTATCGATGGATCTGCCTGGAGCTTGGTTTGATACATGCATCAACACCTTCGCCTTCATCCGTCTTCCTATCGATGACCTGATTATTCTCTGTGAACCTTTCAATTTATTGGATTGATCCTTCAGTGAGGCCGCTGTACTCGGGTTTCTGCAATCGGGTTTCTGCATCTACTTCTGTGATTGACTACCCCTCACCGTTGTTTCTCAACGTCATCAATCCCCTTCTCCGCTCTCATCAATCAAATAGCGATTTTGAGGCTTTTCTAACACCGTCAACATGGCGGGTTGGTTTTCCTCTACTTCTCCTCTCGACGAGCAGGTTGAGCGTGCGACATCATCATCGCTGTATGTTTTCTTTGATTTTGAGTTCTCCCAGTAGTCGAAGCTGCCCGGGCCATAACTAACCGCCTCGATTCAAATAGAGAGGACATTGCTCTCAACCTCGAGATCTCCGACCTTATCCGATCGAAAAGCGTCCAGCCCAAAGAAGCGATGAGATCACTCAAACGGCGGCTAGAAAATAGGAATCCAAACGTGCAGATTGCGACATTGAAGGTTGTATACCTATGACTCGAGACCTCGGTGGGATCTATTCTTGATGCTGATGTGCCTGACATCTCTCTAGTTAACCGATACGTGCGTGAAGAATGGCGGCTCCCATTTTCTGGCGGAAATCGCGTCGCGCGAGTTTATGGATAATCTTGTGTCTCTCCTCACGGCGGAGGGGGCTCCCTTGAATACTGATGTGAAGGAGAAGATGCTGGAACTCATTCAGGACTGGGCTATGGCGGCCCAAGGCCGCATGGATCTCAACTATCTAGGCGAGACCTACCGCAGGCTGCAGAGCGAGGGCTTCCGCTTCCCCCCAAAGAATGAGATTAGTGGGAGTATGTTGGAAAGCAGTGCGGTATGTTTGCGTCCGTCCCATGGTGCGGATCTTGTCTTGAAGCTAACGTTCAAATTCCTTCGGAAATACAGCCTCCTGAGTGGATCGATTCCGACGTTTGTATGCGCTGCCGTACACCATTCAGTTTCATGAATCGCAAACACCATTGCCGCAATTGTGGTAATGTCTTCGATGCTCAGTGCTCCAGCAAAACCCTTCCCCTGCCTCACTTGGGAATACTGCAGCCCGTTCGTGTCGATGATGGGTGCTATGCCAAATTGACATCAAAGTCATCCTTGCCATCTAATTTGTCAGACCGATCTGCGTTCAAGAACCACTCAATAACCAAGGCAAATGCGATGGAGCCTCGCGGCGCAAGGGCAGAAGGGGGCTTTGATGATGACCTGCGGCGGGCGCTTCAACTGAGCTTGGAAGAGGCTCAAAACAAGGGCTCTTCTGGCTACGTGCCATCAACTAGGATCAATGACAAACCGGCAAAGACGACTACTCAAGCCAACCATGAGGAGGAGGAAGACGCGGACTTGAAAGCCGCCATCGAGGCTTCCCTGCGGGACATGGAGGAACACAAGAAGAAGCATGCGGCCGCCCTGAAGAGTAATGCAGCCGCGGCCGATTCTTCCTCTCGTGATACTACCACCGCAACGCCCTTGCCCAAAAATCCCTATGAGTTGAGCCCGGTCGAGGTAGAAAACATTCATCTGTTCGCCGCCCTCGTTGACCGTTTACAACATCAACCTCCGGGGACTATCTTACGGGAACCTCAAATTCAAGAGCTGTACGAGAGTATCGGTGCTCTCAGACCCAAGCTTGCCCGCAGCTATGGGGAGACTATGAGCAAGCATGGTAAGTGGATTATCTCTGTTGGTAGGAGGTTTTATTATCATTCGAAGGTTGACTGACAGCCCATAGATACTCTTCTTGACCTGCATGCGAAGCTGTCTACGGTGGTGCGGTATTACGATCGCATGTTAGAGGAACGATTATCAAGTGCATACTCGCAGCATTCGCTCGGATACGGGACTGTGCCAGGCGGTTCCCCATACCCCAATATGTATCCTACAATGCCTTCCCACATCCCGGAGGGTAAAACTGGAGCCGAAAACTTTTATTACGGCAACCCGGTTGCCGATAGGGCGCCCCCAGTGGGTAACACTTATGGATACCCTCAGTCCAGCAGGGATATTCGCGAGCCAGCTGCAGCTCCCAGCGGCCCGATCAGCTCCGGCATGTATAACCAACCCAGTCAGGCGGTGCCTCAAAATCCACCTTGGAATGGAAACGCTCCTTCTGTCGCATCACCTCAAGCATCCGCTCCCTCCACTCCTTTCCCCAACAACCCTTCAGGATATCCTGGCCCTTCTGCTTCGACGCAATACTACGCGTCCGCACCGCATCCAGAACAAGATCCAAATGCATATTCAAGTCCCCGGCCTGGAGAGACAGACATATCTCACCAGCCGTCGCCAAACATGCGACGAGATTCTTACTATCGATCAGCTGGAGCGCCTGTCACTGCGCGGGCGAGCGCACCGGAACAATCTCCGCCTACAGACCAGGGCCAGTCTCCAGCTTATATGCAATACGGAGATTCTCATCCAGTGCCATCGACTGGTCAACCTACCCCTCAGCATCAGCCTATGGCGCCTCCCCCCCAGTCATACTACTTCCAGCAACAACCTCCACAAGGCGCACCGCTTCCAACACACTCGCAGACTCCAGGTGCGCCATATGGAACGTATCCTGGCGGAGATGTTTCCCCAATTGGTGCGCCTGCACCTCCGGTGCATTATCAACAAGTAGCGCCAACCAAACCGGCCGTTGAGGAAAGTCTGATTGAGCTGTAGAAGGTCCCATGACTGAACTGGCGATGTATAGCATTCTTGTGGCCGCTTTTCCTCTCCTTTATACAGCAGCACCTGCTCATGGTTGTTGGCCTTTTGTGACCATTATGATACCAGACGATTTGAAAGATTTTAGTATATGAGATTGGACACCCATTGGTTTCTGCATTAACATTCACTACTTCTACTCTTGATGCCCCTAGCCAGCTTTTGTTTGCTTAAACTTGTACTTTGTAGACTATTATGCTTTCAAGTGCGAGAACAGATAAACGCTTGGAACACCTGAAACTCGGCTGCGTATTATAGGCCGATGTGGTCAAGCAAAATCATACTTCTCGCTGCATATCTTACCTTCGTTTATTTCGCTGCCTCTTATTCCTGGGATGGTTGTCTCGATCATAAAAGTGCCATTAGCAACTTGTTCATTTGTGAATATTGGAAATGTTGCAAAGTGCTCATATGATTTATTCTGTCTGGTTCGTTACACTGTTCATTATTGAGGATGACGAATCTATCCACATCTTACAAGCGCCAATGGTGAAAAAAGCTTGGTACAGGAAGGACCATGGGGGAAAGCAGTCAAAGAAGAGAGATAAGGAAACATAAAAAAAAATACATCAAATGCTATTCCATGCCAGCCATTGGCGCAGTAGGATATCCCGAATTTGGTAATAAATGCTCGTAAGCTAAAGCCATAAGCGATGCACCGGACGCCGTTAGTGCTAGAATGGGAGCCAAATAAAGATGAATGAATAGAAGACAGAGGTAGAAAGGAGTAAAGGGGCAAGGCAAAAGGCATCGCCGGGTGAAAGATGGTATCATCTAGCCATGGGTAGCTACCTCGCGGCTCTCCCACATGCGGCGAATCATCATATCTGATTCACTAGTGAAATAGCTGTCGCCAAAGTCCTCGTCTACGGCGGTGGTCCCGTGAGCGCCTTCGTCAGAAGTCGACAAGATGCGCTGGGATGGGTGTTGGGATTTGTTGGAGTCGCTGGGCTCGTCGGCATCTTCGAGGTATGTTTGTGACACCGATTTCTTCAAGTCCGAAGTCTTTCTGCTGATGAGTTGTCGTGGCTCCGGGCTTGGCGAGTCTCTTTGCTGCTTCCCAACTTGTTGTAGTTGTGCGAGTGCAGGTGCCGACTTAATTGGTTTGCCCAGTGCCGATGTACGGTCGGGATTGTAGGTTATAGGAGCCTTGGAGTCATTAAGGATAGCCGCCAAGCGGGCGAAACTGTCGCCTGTTGGAGACTGGAATCTTCGGACGACGCTAAGTTCCAACGCGATTTTCTCGTATGCCTTCCGGATGTGCTTGGCTTCCGTATCTCCGCCGGTTCGGGAGGAGCCGTTGACGAGCGCTCTGCTGGCCTCGTAGACGCCTGACCCTGCGCGGCCATGCGATGCTATGAAGGCCGTGTCCATTGCCGAGGGAGAGACTGCTGTGGACATGCCATGGCTGTCGGGAGGAGAGGTATTTAAAGCAGCAGTTCGTTGCAGCCAAAGCTTCTGCTGGGTCCGAGAGGGGGGCTCAGCGCCTGGTGGTCGCGAAGGGGGCGATGCTTTGTGCTTTCCTATCCCGTGGTTCGGAGACGGTGGTGTCTGCGGATGATAATGTGGAAGAAAAGACGATGGTGTATTTGGGTCTGAATCCGTGCGCGATGATGCGTGGGGGCGGGTCTTATTGTTAATGATGAATCTCGAAACACCCCCTTCCATAGACGATGATGTTGCATTCGTCTGATTCCCCGGCGTATTCGCGAGCGTAGTGGTTGATGAGGATAGAGGGCGTCGTAAGCCGTCGGGACCGGCGAGATTGGTCAAGGAAGCATTCCGAGATATGGTGTCAACGGGAGCTGGCTTCACTGTTGCAGAAATAGAAGACATCGCGGGAGGTGCTCTAGCAGAATGTGAAGGGCTTAACAAACGGGCCGCGATGTCGCTGTGCTCAGGCAGAGGGGCAATCTCTTCCTTCTGCTCCTCAGGCTCCGAGACAGGCTGCTCCTGGGGTTGATCGTTCTCGTCAGGAGAGTGATCGTCACGCGCGAAGCTCCTACAGGCTGATTCCGGCAAGCTGCTCGCGGCACGAGGCACCTGAGGATACGGGCGCTTGACAAAGGTGAGGGGGTCCACCAGCACGGCAGTATTCTCCACGCTATCTTTGGATTGCGCAACTGAGCTGCGTCTCGTGCTCTCAGGAGACTGAGTAGTATCTTCCCACTCACCCTCGTCGTCGTCGTCGTCGTTGTCTGAAACTACTAATTCAAAGCCAACGGTCTTCTTCTTCCCAGAACTGGTTGCTGGGCGATCTGTTACCAATGCTTTCTTTGCCAGAACACCAGAGGAATTGCGTCGAGGGTTTCGCAGAGCAGGGCTCGAGTTATTTCTTTTAATTGACGATGTCGCGGCCTGGCCAGCGTCCAACCCACTGTCCCAACGTACGTGGTGACCGCCGCGTGGACTTGCCGCTGGTGTCGCTGGTGCTGACTTCTTCCGTTGATGATGACGAATAGTTGCTTCGGTTGTAATGTGTCCAGCAGAAGTATGCCGCTGGAGCTTGTTTAAGTTCTTTCCGAAAGATGGGTTGCGACCGTGACTGCGATGACCGCCACCGACGACATGTGCTCGGGGACGGTGGGCAGGCGCTTTCTGAGGATGGGTGTCTGACGAGTCTGACGAGGTACGCGTGACGACAGCGTGCGACGAAAGAGCACGGCGGGCCAGGCCCGGGCGCTTAACAGGGGAGGAGGTGTTGGAGGTCGGCATGGCGGGCAGCAAGGCCAGCGCTGGTGCAGGTAAGGGCTCGCACAGATGGCACGGATGCAGCTCCGAAACGGGCAACAAGCAGCTGCCGGGGGGTTGTGTACGGTCGATCAACTATCGATGTGAAGGGGGCATCAAACGCCACGATTTGACTTTCAATTGAGACCGAAAACAAGTACACTGGCAAAGCAAAGCCGCAGAGCCAACGGGAAATATCGGCGGTCGATCAAGGAAAAAGAAAAGCAATGAGCGAGAATGAAGGAGTGCTGCTGTAATCGCTGGTTGCTGCTGGTTGCTTCTGTTGCTGCTAGAGACGCGGGGGCTGAAGCAATAATTGGCTGGATGGAGGAACAGGCAAAGTTACACTGCACGTGAGACAAGAGGGCCCGCACGAGGACCGAAGTGGCGAGGCTCTTGAAGAAATGATCGCCAAGTTGATCGATCAAATTGAAGGATCAGGGGAGTTGGAGCAGAGCAGATGAAACACTGAAACGAAGATCAAAGACAGGAATATGACGGCGAAGAGAAGGTCGGGTCGTAGTGGAGGTGAGAAGTATGAGAGAGTGAAGAGCGGTACAGGATACGGAAAGCAGAAATAGGGATACAACACAGTGGATAGATACTACGGGAGGAGTCGTCTCCACTTGCATCGCCAGTTCTAGACCAGGAGTGGTGAGTGGTATTCATCACTTTCCATGCTACGTACGCAAGAGAATAAAGTCCTGTTACAATACTACAGATCAGTCTGGTCGGATATGCATACCTTCTATCTGACGTGCATGTATGATACCGAGTACGGAGTAAAGTATGGAGTACTCTCTCCCCAACCATACAGCACTACTTAGCCGACTTCAAAATGCTGTCTGAGGTAGCTATTTATATATTAATGAATAGATTTCATTACAATGTATTAGTCAGTGTGCCCGAGTGGTTAAGGGGAGTGATTAGAAATCACTTGGCTTCGGCCGCATAGGTTCGAGTCCTATCGCTGACGGCAGTTTTTTTGGTTTTGTTCCCTTGTTTTAAATAAAAACGGATGGAAAATTAGTTTACATCATCGCAACATCGGTACATTTTTTTTTGGGCGGTTAACAAGCTAGAACAGACTAGTAAGAATAGAATTACCCCGGGGGGAAAAAAGGAAATCTCCCCGACAGGGAGTCGAACCCTGGTCTCCCGCGCTCGTTCTCTATGAGTGACAAGCGGAAATCATGACCGTTAGACCATCGAGGATATTTATTGGTGCTTCATTCTAACTTTGAATAGTTGGAGTAAAAGCTGCTCTGAGCACAGATTTGTATGACCAATATGACCAAAGTCCTTATTAGCGTTCGAAACGAAATATTGTTTGATGCCCAATATACTAATTCAGTGATTTAAGTCTATCCAGTGCTTGTTGCTCAAATATACATTTCGTCCCATGACATGTGAGAATGACAAGTGGTGTACAAACCGAGCGGCGCCGACGGGGTATGTAAAGAAAGGGTCGTTAAGGAACATGTTTCATGTCGAAGGGGATGATCAATGAACGGTCTGGCCTGACGCAGTTCGGTCGCGTTCTTTTCCCTTCCTCGGATGGCCTCCTCTGCCGCCGCGACGAGAATTGGCGCCGGCAGCGTTCGCATGATTTCCGTTCGTTTCGGGTTGAACGTTGTCCCGACGAGAGTCCGAGGTCTTCTGCCCGTTTTGGCCCTTCGCCTGAGACAGCTGTTGAGTCAATCCCGAAGGGCCAGCAGCATTCTCTGGACCCTTGCCACGCTTCTTGCGATTGTTTGATCCTCTACCGCGTCCGCCGCGACCACCTCTACCTTCGCTCTCCTTTTGACTGGCTGTGGTTGAATCAGGCTCCGGTATCCCTTGAACACGCCTGCTCTCTTTGTCCCACCATTCCTGAAACTCCTGTTCCAGCTGAATATCTTGAAGATTATGCTTAGCTGTTGCTGCCTCTCGCAGCTCATCCTTTTCGGTCTGCTGTTGCATTAAGATCGCAGCCAAGGACAGCGAGTTAGGTGAAGGGGAATGGAAACTCGTCTGGTACGGTTCCGAGCGTGGTAAGTGGCGTATGGATTTAATGGGAGTCTGAGCACTAGCCAGACCATTGGGAGATGTCGAGGGCCCGGCTGCGGCTGGGCCCTGTGGCGAAGGCTTCATGGCTGGCTGCGGGCCGCCAGAGACACTGCGGCCTTGGCCAGGTGCTGGTGTTGCGCTTGGTGTCGCGCTTGGTGTCGATCTGGGCGGCGGCGTCCCAGCAAGGGTTTGACGGAGGGTCATAGAAGGCTTCTGAGCGAACTTTGACGGTTGAGAGGATTCCCCATCCTTTCCATGAGATCCAAAAGGAGTACCAGGCTTGGGAGTACCAGGCTTGTCTGGTGATTTGACCGGAGCAGAGAGTTTCCATGGGTTCTGTGGTGCCTCCTTCGCTTTCTCCTGAGCCGCAAGCTTCTCCTGCAATTGCTGCTGTTGGAGCTTCTTCCTTTCCTTCTGAGACAGCTTGGGGGTAAAGTTGTTGCTGTTCTCACGGCGAGCGGACATGCCAAGGCTTAGATTGGACACCCTTCTCTCCGAGGTCTCGGACATAATATCCTTCAAATCTTTCTTCGGAGTCGAGATAGCCGACGAAGCCCACGGTGTTTGGGTTGGGCTGGAGACGAGATAACCATTCTTCTTCTGTTCGAGTACTGCTGCTCTGAATGCCGACGGCGACTCCGAAAGGGCGTTCTCTTGAGGTGACTGCAACGATTCTCGCAGGACATTCGAATCATTGTTGAACGATTGCTTGTCACCGAGGCTTGTGCCTAAAGCTGGAAAATCTAGTGACGGCTCCGACGCCCTACCTTTGCGGATTGCTGTCTTTCCCTTGGCTGAATCTGCCGGTGACAACATGGGGTCGTCGTCCATCTGGAACATCAAGTCACTGGTTGATTGTCTGGACTTCAACATGGGACTACGAGGTATGTCCGAGTTCTCTTTAAGAAAAGCTGCTTTGGCCTTCTGCACTGACGGTGACGTAGCCACCTTATCGTCAGCGACGGGACGGGGCTTCTCCTCGTAGCTTTGAAGACAGTTGAGACGGTACTGGAGCCTCATCGAATCAATCATCCGCCGTCTATCCGCTTGTATCGATGCGACGAGTTCAGGGTACTTCTCAAACACATAGGCTTCAGAATTCCGTCCTCTCGATACTGGGAAGCTTGTCATTTGATTATCATGGCAAACAGTATCAAGGGCGTTAAGCAAGTTCTCGTCAAGGTCTCTGAGGTACCTACGCAGCGCGTTAAGATCTCCTCTTATATATGTAGGATTGCAAACCCACCTTTGCGCCAATACATCTTCCAGATTGAGGCAGATATACTCTAATGCAGCATCTTTGAACTCGCTCACCGCACACGGAGAAATCGAATTGAGGAGGCCGCATACGTTGGTCGTGGTTACTAGAGAATCTCAGTAAATGACGTCGTGAAACCAGATACCTTGAAGAGAATGTCATACCAAATTTGCCTAGCATCTTCTGACATACTTGCGCTAATCGGTCGATCATCAGTTCATTCGCTATGAACGCGACATCAAGTACTAGATCGATGAATCCGTCCAGCGATTGCGATCGGACCTCATCAAAAAGCTGCTCCTCCGCGTCCGTATAGATATAACGAAGAACAAACTCAAAGACGGGCCGGTCTATGTGTTTGAGATCAACGCGAATGCTGTCATTTACACTCGTACGGCGCGATGATAGCCATCTTCCGCCAGAGCGGCCGTTGAACAAGGTGTCGAAAAATGGGCATCTCTGGCAAAGTACTTGACTGTGAGCCTTCATTGTTTCGCCGTTGAGCTCTATGATTACATCAGAGCTCTCGAAGAAAGTCGGATCGTTAAACGCATGGGCCATATCAAATTTCAGACTCTGCGTAGGCTCTATCATGAGCCGCGCAGCTCGTTCCAAGGTTGGCAGGCCCAGGTACGTTGCGATCCGCATAACCTCAGAGCGGACTTGGCGATATCTTGACGCATTTGCAGCCGAAGCTCTCATCTGGTGCCATACGTCCAACACATTGTCTGCATATAAGAAAAAGGAGAGATTGAGGATCGTCAGAAGATCCAATCCATTGAACCGCACATGGCATTGTCCATTTGGCCCATACTCAATGTCCAGAACATCAGGCAAAGAAAAGTAGTATGTCTGTCGAAACTCGTGGAAGGCCTTCCTGAGAACCGAGCTACGCCCGGTTAAAAGAAATTCGTGAACTGGTATTCGCGCATCAGAAAGAGAGCTCAAGAGGAAAACGGTGCCCTCAGGTGCCTCGTTTCGGAGAGGCTGGAAGTAAGATTCAATGTCCGAAATCGACATTGCCGCTCTCTTCATTGCATCGGCGGATCCTCCATCCAAAAGAGCATCTGAGGCATCATCCGTCTTTAACGGAGTAACGGTGGATACTAGCGAAGCGAAGGGCGATAATGGGAGGAAGTCTTCCCACAATGTGCTTTGATCGACATTTATCTGCTCCTTGGTCACATCGCAGTCACGCTGCGCTACGGCGTAAGCCCCATAGGCGTTGCTGCACACCCCCACAACGCGAGACAGGCCTGGGACACGAGCAAATTTGTAATCCTTCGAAATTCCGTCCTTTGCCTTCCTGCGCTTCTCTTTCGTCCAGGCTGACCCCGAAGCCGTACATATAATGATGGACCCGTCTTGTCCGACGTCAACATCTGTGACGGCCATATGCGCCTTCTTCACAGTCCAAACACGGGCTGGGGCAGATAGAGAGTTGCGAGTCTTTGATGGATTTGTAGTCGAAGTCGAAGTCGGAGGATTTTCAGATCTATTAACGCGAACTGTGAAGACTTCGCCAGAGCTTGACCGTGCACAGATTGTATCGCCACCGGATCTCACCTGAACGATGCGATTGACCGATGTGTCATACCGTGTTGCCATGAAGCTGTTTCTAATGAAGCTTGAGCTAACGTCCAACGGAAATGAGATCCTAGAATAGCCATATTGGGAGAACACCCAAACTTCATGATTTTGGAGAAGAACGACTGTGGCGTGGTCAATGGCAGATACGCTTTGTATACCGGCGCTGAATAGGGACGCTCCAACGCGCCGAGGCGTAATCTGATATTCAAGGGATCGAGCGTCCGAATCGACTAATCCGAGTTGACCTTCGTTTTTACCGAAGGTATAAAGGCCAGAACTACTGAAGACCACAGAGTGGATCGCAGACGCAGCCACCCCGAGGATCACTTCTTTCTTGAATGGATTGAAGATCTGCCTCGGAGACATCTGCATGGGCACATCATCTCGACTCTGCGTTCGTGGAAGGCTATAACCGAGTTGTCCATACTTATTACTACCCCAGCTGAAAACCTCACCGTGCGCGGTTATCGCGAGGGTGTGGTCCTGGCCAAGAGCCACTGAAATAACTCTCTTATGAGCGAGCCCCCCTGTTTCGATGCACACGAAGCTGAACCTTGTCTGCTCGTCGCCAGTGCCTAATCGTCCGCCGGGACCAAACCCGCACAAGAAGAGATTTGACTCGGGATCATCGGTGAGGATAGCCGTATGAAGTTTAGACATGACAATGGCCTGAATCTTGATAGGCTTATTTTTTATCAAGGCTGGTAGGTCTGCGGTGCGAGTCACGTCTTGATGGGAAGACGGTGTACCGTCATCTAATTGCCGGTCCAGGAACTCACGATATAATCGGCGCAGAAGGTGCTCCGGGCGCTCAAGGTTGATTCTCACGGGAAACTGACGATCATCCTGATCTCCTAGACCAAGGTTCAGATTTTTGTTGCTGCCAAAAGTAAAGACTTCATCGGCAGCCAAATTCGTCCGCGGTTTTAGTGAACCTCGGCCGACACAGCTGTCTTCAGTTAAATCGTCTTGAAGGGACGGTGCATTCGAAGCGATGTCACTATGCTCCAGCTCTGAGGGGTCGAGAGATGCAGTGGAGGAAGTGATTCGTTTGATGTCTCGAGAAGCAATGGTAGCGCCGTATACTTCAAAAGGACTAAAACCTTCTCGATCTTTAATCTTAATCAGGCCTCCGCTTGGGTGACCCACGTTCCCTGACTTGCTGAAATCGGTTACATCACTTATGTCTCTAGCCATCAGGGCCTGTGCTATGGTAGCGTTGCCTGCGTAAAGCGCCCGATGCAGAGCTGTCCATCCGCTCTCCCAATCCTGCGCATACAAGTCAAGAAAGGGGATCTCGAGGAGAGATGTGGCGAAGTGAATAGCAGAGGGCTTCTGTGATGAAGAAACAAGGTGCAAGAGAGTTCTGCCATAGTGATCTCTCGTATTTAATTCTGCACGGGACAATGCCTTGCCGGGACGCGGGCCTCCAGTATTTCGATCAGGCGTGGTAGCTCCAGGAGATGTCCCGCTTAGCTTTTTGTCTTTTGAAGAGAGAAGAGAAGATGGTGTCACTCCACCGAGGCTTCCGGCCTTGAAGCCTGGGCTTCCTCCCGCGCCAAAAGGCCGCTGGCTGCCAGACGTATAACTGGCGTTCGCCAGACATCGCCGGAAGCTCTCAACATCGTCTCTCAAGAAAGATTCCCAGAGCGTGCTAATCATGTGCCCAAAGTGCTAGTATGTCAGAATCTCTTATCGACCCAGGACCAGAACGTCGTGGTAACCACCGAGGGTTAACGGCGCACTGGAAAGAGCTCTGCGGGCGACAAGAGAATTCTGTTGAACTGAGGGTATCTATGTGAACGAAGGGTCGACGCGAATTCGATATCTCTTTATGTTTGTCAGAGCGCAATATGGGTGTCCGAAGTACAAATCTTCCGTTCTCGCGAGAGACTCGAGGGCTTTGGGACTGAAAGAACTGTCGTAGATAGTGGGACGCGGTGGCGACGAGAGCGATGAATAATGAACGCGATAAGAAGCAACTTCAGGAAAATAGGGTTCCAGGGACGCAGGAAGGCTTTCGAGAGCGGTATGCGACTGCAGATTCAGGACAGTTGAGGCAACCCGAGGGCAATAAGGAGCGATTTTGTCGGCGTATATCAGGACAGCGAGACCTGTTCGTGCTGAATTCCCAGATGACTGTTGGAGCCGTGGATAAGACCATGCGGGTATCGGCCAATCGGAAGCTGTGCGCCCCTCCATGTTCCCAGACGAGAGGTCGAGAATTACTATCACAGTCGATTTGAGGTTCATTAACCCCTCATTCCACGATGAGCTGTTAGGTCGTGCGTAAGATAGCTTCTCTCCTTGTTTCTCGGTTGCTCTCTAATATCGTCCCGATGGGCCCGGATGGTCGGATTGGTGGGGAAACAGGAAAGGTTTATTGACATTCATACATACGCCGAGTATATATCTATAAGCATTTCTAACGTACCTACTAGGCACTAACACAGGGAACTCCTTCAACGTCTCAAGTACACCAAACCATCTGGCATTGATAACCGATTCTTATAGTTTACTAACATATATCTGACAGTCTGAGGCTAGCCGACTGTTTTTGGGGGTTGAGACTGGCGTTCGACCCAGATATCCTTTCGAAAAAGGTAAACGACCTGATCTTGCCGTTGGCATTTGCAGGGACTCGTTATAGCTCGAGTATAATTGAGCAACTTTTTGAGCTTCCTCCTGTCACCGAAAAGGGAACCCAATGACTGGGTCCTTCCAAGTGCTGTGGGAATGATCGTGTCCCGCTCGCTTGCTTCGCATGCACAAGTGATCATACAGAGACTGTGAAGGAAACTCATTTCTGCACGCATTCGTTCTACGCTTCTCGACTGTCATAGTCTCGATGACTAGGCGGAAATTGTCTTGGTCGATTGGAGACAGGATTCCCACTGACGACAGCTGTCGCGCGTCTATTGTTCGCTAGCAAGAAGACGATCTGCAGGTAAAAGGAAAACGAAGAAAAACGTTGGGGAAATTGAGATGCAAGGATCGATCAAACAAGGCCTAGGCCACAAGTAACATGCGTCTCAGAGAGCAGCATTATACACGCTGCATCGTGACCATCTGGTACCAAACAATGGCGCCCAGCCACTATCATTGTTGGCCCTTCAAATACATAGCTACTATTTACGCCAACCCGTCACCTGGAGCGAGAAGTGGGGTGGAGTGGACACATCCAAATTGGAGCTGCGAAGTCATCCATTGCTCCAACAAAGAAGTTGTCCTGGTAGCAAGCCGCTTACCTGCTTTAGTTCTGATTGTCGCAGTGGCACTTAAGCATCAGATCCCTAATAGCTGCATTGAAGTTTGAGTTACCGTCTCGGTTTGACGAATTTTCCTGTTCTTTGTAAGGTACTTTGTTTCCTACTACTGACAATCTCCCATTGAGAAGGGTTTCTTGGCTCTCAGTGAGCCAAGTCATGCGAATGCAGGTCTTTACCCCTGCTCAGTGGCTAGCAAGATATTGCAGACGAGGCGACCAGTCCCGGCCTCCTGGGGCTCAAGGACTGGGATACTGCAGAAGACACATAGCGGCACCCTCATATCCCGATGCCAAGCTCCGGGGAATTGGGCTAGACAGACACTGTTTCCATCTGAAGACGCAGATAGCGAAGCGAAAAAGATGGAAGCAGAGAAAAGATGATCTAGTCTGGAAATATAGCAGAAGCAGAAGTCATGGAGACTTATCATGTGTTCGTTAAGAAAGGCTGATGATCATCTTTAGCGTGAGCGGTTAACATGGCTAGAAGCTTTTGGTGCTTGGGTTATGGGAGGGACTAAGGTAAGGTACCTTGCAAGTTGCAACAGAGGAGGTATCATAAAGTTTACTTGCCATCTTAGAAGAAGAATAGGTGATCATCAGCTGCAGAAGTAAAAAGATTAATATCGTGATCAATAGATAATAGATATATCAACGACCACAGACTTACCAACACTATTAACTATGATACTGAGTTGTTACTATTCTTGAGCTGTCACTTCCTACAATACCCACCTGATCCACCTGACCTGTCTACCTTATCTGCCTGGGTTTATCAGCGTATCGGTGATCACTGCCTGTATCAAATTTTCGATACGATTACAACTCCTGTTTCCTTACCGCCTTTCTCCAAACTTCCCGTTTATCGCGGCTCTCGATTCTCTGGAGCCTTGACATACATTTCAATTACCCTGGTAAAAGACTTGGATGGAAATCTAGGTAGATTAATCCCTTACTGAAGCTAAAATCAACCAGTAGTAGGGCGTCTTCATTTGCTCTCTTATCTTCAACGTTCAGCCTGTTGTGGCACTCGTCAGCCTGACCGACCTCTTGGGGTCTTGCGAACCATCGAGTCACAGGGTGTGCGTCACAGACCCTCTGTTCCCCGTACGCTTGATCTCCTGTGCCTCACTGGGTCTTGCTTCCATTTCCTCATCCGCTATCTCTTCTCTGTCTCTCAACCTCCAAAGCATCATATTCTTTCTCATTCATCCATCCAATTTCTGCTTATCTCAACTTTAAGTGATCATGATCCCTTAAATCTATACAAGTTTCTCACAAAGTGAGAACGCCACACTTCCCCAGGAAGATAGTCACCGATGCGGAGAAGCTCCCAAGGTTGTCTAGACTGTATGCTCCGACTGCTCCAACATCCTGTTGCCTGAGCACCGCAAACGATGCTATCGATGATCACTATTAAATTTGAATCAGTGCCTGTCACTTAGCGCCTCACTTAATCTTGTCCTTTCTCATTCAGTCTTTCTCCATTTTCGTCCGTGCAGCTCTCTTTGATTGTTAGCATGGCCTTCTGTGCTGGATCCATCACCTTCCGTTTCCTTCTTGAATAATATACTCATATTAGTGAACTTCACATTGGCACAAATACCCGGAGCTGTACTGCACACAGGAGGATATCAAGTCAAGTTGTTGCGTAATGCATCAGCATCCTCGCTCGCCGGCGCCTGCAGCGCCGACCTCTTCAACGAGGTCAAATCGTTCAACAGATCACAGAGAGCTGGACACAGGCCCAAGCTCACCGGCTTCAGATGTCAGGATGAATAATGGCCGGGGCTTGGGTATTGAAACGGGGACTGAACCGTCTGAGCAAGTACAGCGAAACACACAACCTGCAAAGGAAGCAATGGCAAAGCTCAATCAGATCATAACGGTAAGCTCCTGGTTCTTCAAGATAATTGTATTCCACGTTGGGAAGACGCTAATTTAGTTTGGGTGCCTTTCACTAGAACTACCACACGAAAGCTGCGCTTATTATCTTACATTCGAGAGTCGACCTCCCTCCGTCGTTTAATAAGGGATCTGATACTCCAAGGGTGAATCGCTGGGTATGTTGGTCTTCGACCATTATGGATGCACTTTGCTTGTTTATCGTGCGATTTGTTATTCATTGCAATTCGAAGCTTAGCTAATTGCTGTGGTTCCAATCTAGTTCAATGTCGAAATCGAAGATACAGATATTCTCCGGGAGCAACTGCGGATATGGAGGACATGTGATGCAACCGAGAATCGACCGCCGCCGTTGATTATCGAGACATACTTGGAGACGAAGGGACTCACAAACAATCAGAGCCTCGTGATCTTGGATGAGAATGGAAAGAGATGGGATGTCCTAGAAGCCTTTGCTGCTTCTGGTCAGGCGAGTCCTGTAAGACCACCGCTGTCAAACTCTGACGATGTCATTCTTGAGCGTTGGAGAGTTGAATTGGGTTCTGCAACCTCCAAACCACCCTCCGACCTCAGCTCTATCCTTCCGACCGTATACAAGAAAAGTATTGTCCTCTTCCGCTCTTTGTTCACATATTCCAAATTCCTGCCCGCATGGAAGTTTGCAAAACGCAATGGAAGACTTCGCAGCAACCCAGCTCTACAAATCAGATATAGGATCCTAGACGGGCGCACGGCTTCAGATCGCCGCAAAGTCGACCACTTGACTGTTCCGCTGTACGAGGGCAACAACAAAGTGGTGGAAACGTATAGCTTTGGGGTTACGGACTCACCTGCAGGCCCTTTCTCGGTTGAGGTCACTTATCGAACCAACTGTGACTTCCGAGTGGATGATTCTGAGGCTCTATTGAGTTCACGCTTTATGGGAGCCGACGATGAAATATTTCGTCCTTCGTTTCCGTCAAGGGATGTCAATAGAAAAGCTTTCAATGCTGAACCGGGGTCGGCGCCGTTGGAGAAAAGGACCGTCGAGGAACCCGACCCCGGTCGTGCGTATGGAAGCTTATCAACCTTCCATCATGTAGGGCCTCCGACGGGTGCAAGTCCCATATCAGCCCTTCGGGCTGCGAGAGAATATGTTACATCGTCACCATCACCACCACCTTCGGCTTCTAGGAGGCCTTTATCAGCTGTCAGAGCTGCACCAACTGGGCGCGCTGCTGCCCTCGCTGCGGAAGCCAGTCCTAGTCCCCTTAGGCGACCTTCTATCTCGTTCCAGCCATTCAAAGCGCCACCGCTTTCTGCTTCACCTTCTCTCATTGATCCGCCCCTCGGGGCCTCTCCTCGCTCCCGGCCGATAATAAGTGCACCAAGCTCAGAGCCCAAACACATGCCTCCTCCATCAGTAGCAGCCTCTGGGCGTAAGACTGGGCAAGCGGCTTCAGAGAATGCGATTGCGTCGTCCAACTCAGCGTCCCCAAGACCCGCACCTATT